GATGTAAATTGTGCAAGTTTCATCTAAGAAGTAACAGGGACTGTGTTTTGTATAAATTTATCAAGACAGAGATCATATGACACTCCTGCAAAATGTGCTGTTTGCCATTTAAATTCTTTTTCCAGCAATATTTACTTGTCACCTTCATACCAGCACAATTCAGATGGTTAAAAAAGGATTCTTCAAAATAAGACACTGATTTCATACCATGAATGTCCCGCAGAAGGTAACATTCCTTCCCTAGCTTTAAGTACAGAGTCACTTCCACAAATCTTAAGAAAAGGTTTTTTGCCAAATAGCTGAAGTGAAGTCCAAGCTTTTGGGAGAAAGCAAAAAACAACAGAAACTACAGAGGCATTCATTATCACCAGAAATTATTCACTTTAACATACAGTGTTTTCCCTACCATATCTTTCTTGTTTTGTAGCTGTCATGTCAGTTTCAACATCCAAAAAGAAATCAGGCATCAGGGGGTGACCTAAAAGGGGGGAAAAATATAATATAAGTCTAAGTAAAGTTTGACAGCACAAACAGGAATCCATTTTGTATGAAACTACAGCCAAGTTTGTAAGTAAATAAAGTACAATTTGAAGGAAAGAATTAAATAACACCTTTAGAGTTTGGTTAATTTAAAATCTGACATAAAAGCCTCTTGAAGTTGCAATGAAAAACATTTGAAGAAGAAGAAGAAAAAATCTCACTAGCTGGTAAACAGTAATATACATATCTACAGTGTAGGTACATTTTCTTTTCATTAAAATATTTTTTAAATTTAATAGATACTTGATGATTAGAATCTCAGTGGACTTGTCACGTGTCCTTTCCAGGAAGGCACATTCTGAAAGCTGAGGCAAAGCATCTTTTTACAGACTAATTTAAGAGCCCCTAGAAGCTGTATTAATATTCTCCATACATCCTTCCCTCCTTCCTGAATTTACTTCTTACCTTAAAGATCTGTTTTACCTGGTGCAATTGCATAGACATCAAAATCCTTAACACCTTCTTCTCTCAGCAGGACTTCATCAATAATGAAGTTTCCAGTGAAACTTTTTGGTTTTGTTAAAATGCAATAGGCAGCATCTGCAAGGATGTCCGTTTTCCTGCACTGTTTTTCTATTCCAGATCCTCCAAGCATATCCATAGCAGCTGTATGTATGGCTAGAAAGTTTGGAGGGAAAGAAAACAAACTTTAATACTGATGACATGAAATTCCCATTTCTCTGGCAAGTACACAAACTGTGTTTTCCTTTCACACAAATGGAAATTGTACGAAGACAAAGCTATGAAATACTACTAACCAACAAATAATTCTCTACAAGAACCAGTACAAAAAGAAAACTACTGAAGGAACCAAAAAGTGGAATCATGGGCAGGAGTTTTTATGACATTCACATCCCTCTATCCCTTTATTATTCCCCGCCCATGGATTTCCTCCAGGTTATTCAGAAGATTAAAAACTAACAGGACAACTATTTTTCTCAAAAAGAATATATGATACATCAGTCATTAAGAGGTACCTCCTTTGGTGAATATCACACTGAAAATCTTAATGCTTAATTTTAGCCTCCCATGAGATACCAAAGTGTCTCTCTTTAGTTAATGAGAAACCAAATAGCAAAAACTCAAGTAACTTGTTCAAGTTCCCACAGAAAGGCTGTGTTAGAATGAATAATAAAATTCAGATCTTCTAGGCTTCTGGTTGTTTTATTACTCCCTTATTTTACTGGTGAGGATTAGCCCCTAGGTTTCATTTACCTTTGACCGACCTCAGCTTCTCTTCTTTTTTCAAATCAACCAAACTGCTATAAATTCACACCTAAATAAAAAGTGGCAAGTAGATATACAGTACATACAAACAGGTCTCCCTCAGTCTTTTTCTCGTTTTTAAGGACAGGAAATAAATTTGCCTTTTGTTGGTCCTCTGAAATGCAATCTGTCCTGCAAGATTTTTAATTTTTCTTTTTAATAACTACCAACAGAATATTTCTGTCAAATACTGTGATGAAATTTACCAGGTTCTGTAGACCTGAATATATTCCACTGTTCTCAGTATTTGTTAACCTGTTCACTTTTCCTGGCCCACACTTCTGCCACTTTCTGTTAGTGTCAATCATTGTTCTTCCGAGCACAGTAACCCTGGGTGCACAGACTGAAGCAAAAAGGTTTTAAATAGCCACTGCCTCATAGTCTGGCTGCACATTGTTCCACCTATTTCATATAAAGTGCTGCTGGTTTTCCTCTAACGTACATGAAGAGTCTTCCAGTTCTGTCCCAGGATAGCTCTGTTACTCATATGCACTCTTAGTGATGGAACTGCCCCTTGCCCTTTTGGTAGGCTTCCTCGTTCACTTTGAGATGAATGGAGAGCTCCTGGCATCTTATTACCAACATACTTTCACATATTTGAAGAGTCAGATTAATCAACAGATACTGGCATTCATACTAGCACTGAGGCTGATAACATTTGTATGAGATTATAGTGGATTTTTTAATTAAGAATTTTGTATTTTAGATAGCGTGGAAGCCTGTAACTCTCACTCTTTGGTGACCATATGAAAGTAGCTGACTTCTCTTTTGAAGGAACGTTTTTTTTCCCCTGAGAATTTGCACACGATTATCCTCTTTTGTACTTGAGGGTACATCAGTTTTCATAGAGGCATCACTGATTGTGCTCATCTAATATTTCTAACAGACTTAAATGGAATGAGCAAGAATGGATTCAGGAAATACAAAGCTCCATCTGCATTCCTTTGATTTTATAAGACGCTTAATTACTTTTTAAATTACTTTGCAGCATCTCACAGAGAGAAATCCTTATTAAAAAAGCATTTATTAGAATATACTGTTGTAAATTGTAAACTGAATCTTCCTGGACTTCGAAGTCTCATGTTCTGCAGGCTCCTAAGGGGAAAAGATATTAGCTGCACTCTGTAACAACTGCCAGCTTCTGCAGTGTTATCCTCTTACTTATTTTAGCAGGTACAAATATGTTACCAAGGACACAGTGGCACTCTAATGCACAGGACAAAGATACTACTTTCTTTGGTTTGGGTTTTCCCCCCAATAAGAAGGTCAGATTTTGTATAAGTTTAATTAATATCATCATAGACATCCTTTAATACCAGATCACATCTGGGATGGATACTGTTACTGACACTTGGAGTGCTACAGCAGATGCAAACACTGGAAAGAAATAATATATTGAACCATGCAACAGAAGACTTAATGTAACTTCTGCCTATAAAGTTAGCAATCCCTCCGAAAAAATTCATATCATGAGCAGGTGGACAAATTCTCCTAGGTTCTGTTCTCCCTTGCCAGGAAAAACAGGAGGCCAAGTTATTCAGATGGGTGGGTGAAAACATCTACATTGCAAAATGAAGACCTAGTATAACCAGCTGGTCACTGCAGGAAGAATTCTTTAGCTTTCAACAGTACATTGGGACCGCTAAAACTACTGACTCATTTCCACAACTGTAGTTGAGGTTTTCTCCAGCATATCCAGAATCATAGAGAGAAAGTGCTAAAGAATCAGAAAGCTGTAGAGGATGCACACAATGTGTGCATATGTGCATTTACAAGACATGGGTAATCTTGTAAGACCTTTTGAGTGAGAAAATAAATCAAATAAGTAATGTTGTCTGCAGTGTGATACCACATCTCTGTGTCTGAATAAAATACTCTGGATTAATTCCTTCACTGTCCCAAACTCTCATACACCGTTTACATTACTTAATCAGTCAGTCACCAAAAAACACAAAATGGTAGGTAAAAGATCACCTCTGCTAATGGAAAACCAAATTACTCCTAGATACAGGATTCTGAGGAGATGTAAAACCCATTTAGCAGTGGCATTTTAGGGACAAGCTAGGCAAGATGGGCGGGAGGTCTAGGGAGCTTAAGGCATTAAGAACCAAGTTTCATGGCTCTATTCCAGATGACAAATATAGATCCTGGGAAATCTCCATTGAGACTTTTCTGAGTCTTCCTTGGAGCACTCAAGAAGCAAGTATGTGGAAACAACTGCACGTTTCTTCTAACTCTTTCAGAAATAAAAAAAATTCAACAGAGACCCAAAACGTGAAAGGTAAGCTTTCACTCCACTTCCAGGAAGGCAACCCAGACCCTGAAGTTATACGGGCAGTTGCCTTCAGCACAGCAAAGTTGAAAAGCTTATCCTCTTCAAAACAGACAGTACAGGTTTTGTGAAAATATAATCATCGTTCAAAAAGTCAATCCCTTACTAAAATAGTTCTACGGGTAAAACTCAGTGTGAGCAGGATTATTAAGCATCCATTTACTGGGAGAATTTAGAATTCAAGCACCCAGGCCAATGAAAAAGGACCAGGTCTGTCAGCCACACTAACCCAAGTGTTCAACAGAGTATCACCTAGAGTATTTCAGCAAAGAAACTCAGCTGATTTTGTCTGAGATAATTAAGTTTTGCTCATACTCCTCACTTTTGAAAAAGCAAATCAGAGAGTTCTAGCTCACACTAGAAGTTAAAAGGGGCCTGCAGCTCCTAACAGGAAAACATTGAAAAGTGTCTGGGTGCAAACACTTCTTACACTGGAGCACTAGCCCCAGATCTTTGTTCTCATTTTTATTTCCTCTTCCTTCTTCCCTCCCTCCACTAGTTAAGGGAATAAACTCTGCTGTTGTCATGTTTCATAACACAATGACTGGGCTCACGCCATTAAAGGGCAAGATTACCCTCTGTCTTTACTGACTTTAATACCAGTATCATTTCTGTACGCAGATGTATTTGGGGTGAAGAGACTGGCTTCTCTGGCAAACAGCTGACCAGACCTCAAACTACAGCCCTGATCGTCACTCACCCATAGACAACAAACTGGAGTTAATACAACATGGGTCCCTTGAGTTGTTTTTCTTCCATAGAGCTCTTCAGTTTTCTGTGACTTGCAAGCAGATAGTTCTGTGAACAACTGTTTGCTGGCCCACTGAACCAAAACTTCCAGGAACAGGTTTTGTTTTCTCTAAATTATTTCTGCACTTACAGAGGTACGTATCTTGTCAGTTTCATCTATGCTCTAACAATTTAACTAGCAAGGAAAACGAAATAGTACTACATATACAGACATTTAATACCTACTAATGAAAGCATGCTAATACATCTGTGATTCTGTCCAAAACAGAACTCAGGGTGCATGAAAAAGAGCACAGACAAGCCAGATGGTACACAGATGCTTCAGCCAACTAAAAGGGTTGAATGGATTGCAAACTCGATGAAGGTGAGCTTGGATCAAAGTAGCAATGGTCTAGTGAGAAACAGGAATGAAAAGTAGCTCCCATGCATGATGAACAAATAATATGCAAAAGAAATGCTTGGTCTCCTGAATCAATTCCACAGAAATTTGACATATATTCAAAGTCAACCAAAATAAGTTGTAGAAGACAAAATACAGAAAGCTATTATTTTAGTACGATTAAAAAAAAAAATAATCACCTGTTTTAGGCCATAAAGCATTGACAGCAACTTGTCCTCTAAATTCTTCTGCCATTCCCAAGACACACATGGACATCCCATATTTAGAAATGGTGTAAGCTAAGACAGGAAGTATAAAAAAGGATAAAGAATTTATACTCTATCAACAGAAGTTTACTTAAAGAAAACCCAAATTATTTGTTCATAGGGAAAAATCAAGATTTTGCAGACAAAACAGTGTCTTCCTGGAGTCACAATCCTTCCCTTCTCCCCACCACCCCCAGCAGATACAAACTGCCGTCTGCCATGATTTCATTACAAATAAAATGAGAAATACACATTTTGACAAAAAAGATGACTGAAGCCTAGCTGTATGGTGGTTTTGTTGTGTTTTTTATACACAGCACACTGACAAGAGTGCTCAGCGTTTTCAAGAGACCTTAGGCATACTAGCTGCTAATAATCAAATTAGTATTCTATAGGAAACAAAAAGGGGGCAAGGGGGGAAATTCTAAATCCTTGTCACCTATCTATTTTGAGAAGGGAAACTTCTGGGGGGAAAGCACTGGGACTTGCTGAAGGAGTTTAACATGACAAGTGTCCAAAACTGAAACTTCCACAGTTTTAAAACGAGCAACATTAACCTCAAGACAAAATGGAGTCTCTCTCCCAAAGCAAAATTAATTTCCACTTTAAAAAACATCAAGCTTTATCCCTATTAAACTAAATCAGATGAATCAGTAAGAAAATAGAGTTCAGGTTTTGAATTTTGGAAAAGAAAATATTTTGTAGTCTTAAGAATTCCCATGAAAAATCACAGACTCTTACCTTGAAAACATTCTTGAAAACATAAAGGATGTATTAGGCCGTGAAACCTGCATTATGTTTTCCCACAAAACATTTCTTTTACGCTAAGTACAAAACACTCTGGGGAACCGTTAGTGCCAGTCTGTACATAGTGCTAAAGAGACAAGATCTGGCATTCTGGGCTGGCACTTCTGCACATTTCGCTAGGTATTTATGTGGTTCTCAAAAAATTACAAAGGCTCTGAATGCTACTCACCACAATGATTTTTGAACCACATGGGATTCAGATTCATAGGTGGGCTAAGGTTCAGGATATGGGGGTTCCTGCTCTTTCTCAAGTGGGGAAGGCATGTTTTAGACCTGAAGATAGATTCAGACAAATCAGTCACCTCTTATTTTATGAACATCTATAATTACAGTAAAAACCATTTTCATGAAAAGTTCAACACTAAGCTGAGATCCTGCCCTTATATCAATTATTTAACTGATATCAAGAACAACAACAAAAAAAATCTGTCCTAGCTCACTGATATCAGGCCTAATATTC